CGTTCCAGCAGGAGCAGAGCTGATACTCAGGGAGGAGGCAAGCTCAGGAGGATGGCACTTAGGTTGGGTTTTCTTGTTCTTTTTTCTATTTTCATGAAACTTTTCCTTAACCCAATATTTTTAAAGGTCCCCCATCTGATTGCTCACGGGCATGAAGCCAGGGTACCCATGCTCGGCAAGAGCAGAAACATGCCCCTAGAAGTCTTTGAGGCCAAACACTGACCTCATTTTCAGAAAAAAAAAATAGCTGGGAGAGGAGGAAAGGGGGATGGCAGAGAAAAAAGGAGGGGGGAGGGAGGGAGGGAGAGAGAGAGGGAGGGAGGGAGAGAGGGAGGGGAGTGGGGAGCAGCAAGGAGAGTCCAGATCCGCCTGTAATAAGGGTGGGCTGGGGTGCGGGTCTGGGTGCCTGGATGCAGAAGATGCCTGTTGGAACTTGAGCTCCATCACAGCTAGCAGGGAGGTCCCTTTAACGCCACCCCTGAGGCTCCAATCCATTCATCGGTGCAGTCTGGTATCTGGGCTCAGGCTGCTGGAAGAAGGTACCAGAGACCGGGCAGCTGAAGCAATAGCAGCTTCTGTCTCCCGGTTCCGGAGGCTGGAAGTACACCAAGAAGGTGCCAGCAGATTCAGTTCCCAGTGTGCAGAAAGCCGCCTTGGGCTGTGTCCTCACAGTGTGGAGACGAGAGAGAGAGAAGCTGCTCTCTGGTGTCTCCTCTGAGCAGGGCCTCCATCCCCTCCTGGGGCTCCGCCCTCTTCACTTTGACCTGGTCGCCTCCCACAGGCCCCACCTCCTGCTACCATCACCCTGGGGTGCCGTTTTCAACAGAGGGATTTGCAGGAGGCACACAAGCCGCGTATCAGCATATCTCCAAGGGGAGCCCATCCGTCTGGGGGTTTCCTTCCCAGCAGGAAGGGTGGCTTTTCGGCTTTTCTCCCCTTGATTCCAGGCACCCCACGCAGTGGCATGCTGCAGGCTCCCAGTAAACAGTCGTGCAATCAAAGGAGGGAGAGAGGAGAAAGGGCGAGACAGAACCTGATAAACTATCAAGTCCCAAGCGGCCGCAGTGCTTGCTTGTTGCCCAAAGCAGACTGAGGAGCCCCTGACGTCCTTCCGGAACCATGTCTGCCTTGCGAGACCAAACCCGGGTCCTGAAGTCCCGTCCATCCGAGAGAGCCTCCCCCGGGCACGTCCTGTGTGCCTGTCTTGGAGCCAAAAGCTGAAGCAGGAGCCAGAACCAGACCCAGAGCCTTCCCTCAAGATCTGATCTCCAACCCGGGAGAAGTCGGATGCTGCTTCTGAAGACAGAATGAAACCCACTCGGGTGGGGGTGGGGGGGGGGACAGGAGCTGGGGGTCCCAAAGTCGAGCCTTTATTCTAGTGTTGATTATAAGAACAATCAGCCCTAATGACTGGGGCTCCTTCACCGTGTGGCCAGCTGTGGGGCAGAAGGAAACCCAGAAACGGTTTCGTTTTCGGAGACGGCCCGGCCACTGCTCCCAGCCTCTGCACAAGCCCATGGCAGGCACCCCCGAGGAAGCTGTGTCCGCTGGCGTGGTTTTATCAGAAGCAGCAAAATTAGACACCGTTTCCCCTAGACTTACGTATCCCTCCTCTGCGCCTGCTCTCATGTGCAGACATTAATTGAACTGCCTTCGCTACTAAAAATAAACTCCCGGTCAAATGCAGTGAGCCAAAAACCTCAATATGAAACCACAAAAAGCAGTAATAAAGTGGGCCAATACCAGAGGCGTCTTCAAAAGACATTTCTGTTTCAACGCAGGGTTCCGAATGGGCCGCAGTCTTTTCCGTAGGACGGTCAGCCACCTTTCCACGGGTACCCGTGGCCGGAGGCCAGGCTGGCTCCTGTCCTCCGTGGCCAGGAGCCACCGAGTGCCCTCTGACCGAGGCCCGAGGGGTTGGCTTGCAAGTATCAGACAGGAGCCAGGAGATGCCTCCAGAGTCGGGGTCCAAAAGCAAGGTGGGGGTCAAAGGGAAGAAGCCCAGCCTGTGCGCGGGTCCAAGGAGGGGCCTGGATGAGAGAGTGACACTGAGAAGGTCAGGAGCTGGACAGGGAAGCAGGTGGGAGAGTGGAGGCCAGCTGATTTACAGCTGAGAAAAGAGAGCCCGGAAAAGCAGAAAAGGACTGGCCCAGGGTCCGGGGTGTGGGGTTGTGGGTGGGGGTAG